ACAAATATATATATATATATAACATAGTGTTCCCAAATAGAATTCGTTCGCAAGCAGGCAGCTGCAGCAGCACTAGGTCTTTTGCTATGCAGTTGGCCTGTGCGGCTGGGTTTCTGTTTTGATGCCACATGGATCATCAACCTGTTTCCCTCCAGGAACCCATCAAAACTAGTGGTGGTGTCACACTGCATGTCCACCCGACCGCCGAAGCCAGAGGCTCGCGCGATAGGTGCTACAAGTACCCAGTGTTCATACCACCACTGCAAAATAGAAAACAGCCGCGACCGCCAGGCTCCATTGGACTTTAGGTTGGCCTTCTGATCGGTCTTATGTCTCTTGCAATTTGGTCCTAATGGTTGGTTGTCCAATAGGGACCATAAAAACTTGAAATTGGAAAAAGCCTCACTCACTGGTAGTTGTCGATCCGGGCGGAAGCCGGTGAAGTGAGGATGGGTAAGTTCATCAGCCCACTGGTTGTAGTCCCTCTTCATGTGTGAGGGGGCAAGTCGGAACCCTGCCCTGTGAAGCATTACGATGAGCTGCATCAGGAAGGCAGAGGTGGGCATTTGCTCGGTCTTCTGGTTCAGGATTCAGGAGTGCGAAGATGTTGCCCCGGTTGTCAGAAATCAGGCTCCCATGAGCAGGAGGAAGTGAGTCAAGATCAGTGTGCCAAACATTTCCAAAGTAGAGATCCGACGAGTGTGATGACCATCTTTGTGTGCCCAGGCGTGGGCGTCCAGTGGTACCTGGTAGTGGAACCACCATGTTTCAGCTTTGGAAGGGTTTTTGGTGGCTGCTAGCCATCCTCCAATGTGGGCATTGGCATCGCTAGCCCCCCGGCTATCATGCCAGGGAGTGGTGGCAGAAGGGACTCCCAACCTTCGATCATAAAGGTGGACTGCACAAAGCCTCGGGGGGTGGAGCAGATCGCCCCGCCTCCGCTGAGTCCGGCGCCTTGTTGTCCAGACCCATCCGGGACATGATGCCTTGGAGCTCTGCAACCTGGGCATCCAGGTCCTCTTTGGTAACATTCATGTCAGTCTCCCCTAGAACAGGTTCTTCGGCGGGCTGGGCCGAGTTCGCTTGGGCGTGTCTAGAATCAAAAAGTCCTACCCCGTGGATGAGGCAGCATCCACCAGAGAGAATGAATCCAAAGTTGCCATTTCGCATGCCATAGGACTTGTAGTAGATTCCATTGCGGTCATAATGGCAAAGCAGAACAAGGCAAATTTTTCGACACAGAATAGTCAAATGGGGGAGACTTGAGCCAAAATGGCATAGCCATTTTGGCAACTATATCGACAACACATTACTTGCTCTCCACAAGTTCCAAGCAAAGAAACAACAAATCTCAAATTCCGGTCAGTCCCTCTTCCATACTGAAATCCCGACCATGGCAAAGAAGAAAAGGGGTGTCACGTGAGGCAAAAAAGCTGCCACCTGACACCAGGTTGTTTGTACATGATGTATATGCATTTTTGTACCATTTTGAGTTCATATTGAATCCATGTTGATCCATTTTGTACCTTTACCTGCAAACCCATGCGCCCGAAACAAGGCATCTGCTGGTCAGCCTCCTCTTTGAACGCAGCCGCAGGTCTCAGTTCTGTGGGTCTGAAGGGTGCAAAGTAGCAGTCCAACCTCGCTTGGGCATGAAAACTCTTCTGCATTAACGAAGCCATCTTCGGCATCGGATGCTCTAACTCAGGTCAAGTCATGCGAAACAGGGACTGCACCAAGCTGGTGTCCTGTGTCTGCACAACCTGCGATTTTGAAATCAATTCACCGTAGTGGCAAGTATCAACATGCGGATCACGTCATATTTGTGCAATGTCTAGGTTCCATGTCCAATTCTATATTATAGGGTCACCATAATATACGTCTACCTCTTTACACGTTCCTCTCGCTTAAGCATATTCTTAATGACATTGTATATATATATATATATATACACACATATATCATATACGTACGCATCTGCTTATGTGCATGATTTGACCTTTGCCAGTGTGTATTTTTAGTAGCTGTGACTATCTTCATAGTTCTGTATTCTTGGGCACCTCAATGCAATCGATGTATGCGAATGCTTTTAGTAGTTCCCTTGGCGAATAGATGAATGATCATGCACCAATGATGTATACGTTTGGATGCAGGTTTGACGGATGGCAAGATGGATCGAGCTGCATGAATACGTTGCACACGCAAAGGGGTGCAAATAATGCCAGGAGTGAAGTAAGTAGCTAGTCAAGTTGTCCGTCGGTCAGCTGGTTCGTGAGAAGTAGCAGGGATATACATGGACCTATACCCAACATTCACATGGAAACTTCCGATCCAAATATTCATGTCAAAGAGCTGAGTTATACAATCCCATGCAAACGGGGGACGATGAGGACGCATTGAAAACTAAAGGAGGTCTGGCTGGGCTCATCCTGAAATAGATCATCTGAGGTTTGAAATCCTGTCAAAAATCAAAAGGCCAATATAATATAGTGAGATACAGGGTTCAACACAGCTCAAACAATGACAATGAGAAAATACGAGAAAGCTCACAGTCACACAGTCACACAGTCACACAATTACACACACACACATATATATATATATAAATGAATGTAATGAATCACTGTTCCGGAAATTCTTCAATTCATCATGGCATAAGATCCGCGGGCGGCTGGAAACGTCGATCTCTCGCCTCCCTGCAGCACTTCCGGACATAGCTCACGGTGTTGGGCAGCAGCTCCTTCCCAGTTCATCCCAGGCACCCGGACCTTTCCTGACCTTTTCTAGTCTGCTTAGTCCGCCTAGTCCTTCCACCTAGTCCATTAAAAAAAACCATTTAAATCCATTATAAAGATTATAAAATCCATTCGACTTCTTTATCATCTTTATACTTATCTTGCATTATATTCTGTCAATCTGGTGCCTCACAGTAGCGTCTCAAGCGCGAACCAATGTCTGGCCTTGAATTCAATCAGACAAGGTGTCTCAGTCGAGCTGCTGAAAAACCAATCGTGTTGTCTCAGGTCTGCACTGGAAACTGAAAGTCTCGGGCAAAGCGGCTAGCCACGAATCAAACAGTGGTTGAAAGCCTCAAAGGGATATCGCAAACAGCCGGATCTTCGGGTACACCGGAACCACAAGAATCACAAGAACATCTTGATCCACATACTTGGTAAACTACTTCACAGATTTTCACATGAAATAAACCGTAACAATCCATAACAGAATAATCAGAAAATATAAATATAGACATATATAGACTATATACACGTATAGCATATCTTAAAACATCACAAACCATCTTCGGGATGATTTCCCGCTAGCCGTGTATCGTGTATGGTGATTCGAATTCAGATTGCCCGTGTTTCACCAAGGTCCTGGGGTCCTGGGGTCCTGGCCCAGGCTTTCGGGCTCCATGTAAATCATACCTTGACGCACAATTCACAAAGCTTTTCAATGTGAAAGAATTGGATGATGGGAAATTTTTAACCGGAAAACCCTATATTTGATGGTAAAAACCCATGGGTTTCCGGTTAAGATTTTCCCTTAAACCAATCCATTGACAATGCTTTTCCAAGATCCAGATTTGATCAATAACAATCATATGAAATCGGTATCAATATGTATCAATAACAATCATATTGAATCATGATTATGATTCAATCTATTGAAATCATCATATTTCATCATCCTTCATTTCCATTCACGTTGCCCAGATGCCACAACGTGACACAGTAGCTGGCGACGCAACCTCCAAGTCCTGACCAGACCAGCACAGCTGTGAAAGAAAGGCCCTGTGAGGCTTTAAGCTGGAAATCAGTAACGCTTCCAGCCCAGCCTGGGCCCAGAAACGTGCCACTCACTTTGGGTGCACATTCAGCTATTATATGCATTTATATACTATTATATGAATATGCTATTATCATCTATTATTGAATCTATTGAATCTATTGCTATTCGCATGATTTCTGCTGCCTCAACCTCAAACATCATTCGCATCTGGGCGGTCAGGGCCTTGGAGCAGCGTTTCGAATATGGAAAGAATCTGAAAGAATCCGAAAAAATCAGACGAAACGAGGGATGAGCTTTCACTGGAAAATCACCATGCTATTAATGGGTAGTGATATACTGACCATCAAACTGGTGATTATTGAATCCGATTCAATATTTTTTCACTGCTTTCCACTCTCTGTTTCGAATCGTTTCGATAAGCTTCAACAAACTTTTTGATGATGGAACTGACGGAACATTTCTCGCCAAACTGGGAAGCTGGAAAGCTAAGAGTCCGACAATGATCTCGCCACTGACAAGACACAACTTTTTGTTGTCGTCAAGGACCGTGTTCATGCTCCTTAGCAAGATGTCATAAGATGTCCATGATGATGATCTTGAATTCTGCAACACCAACGCCATTTGCAGCATAGTCACTCAATCCAAAGGGCATCAACAGGACCATCAAACATGACCTTAAAAGCAACAAACATCAAGACAGCGCCTGAAAACTGACCTTCCACCCTTCGAGCGAAGATGAGCTCCACTCCCAATGATGATCTGGTTGAGCAGCATCCCTTGTGGCATTTCTGATCTCCTGCATGGGGCATCCCAGCATTCGCGGCATCGCAGAAGAACTTTATATATCCATATTTGAATCTGGTTGGTAGTATACCTACCCCTCTGAGAAATATGAAAGTCAGTTGGGATGATTCTTCCCAATACATGGAAAGTCAAAAAAAATGTTCCAAACCACCAACCAGTAATCATTTTATGCCAAACGATGCCAAACCCTTGTGGAGATCCAGTGTCCTCTGCAGCCACGCCATCTGACCACTCACGGGTAATCTCATCGAAAGATCCGTACAGCCTCAAGTGTTGCACTAAGGCCGAATTAAAGCTGAACTGCACGAGCCATTGAGATCAAAGATCACAAAGTATAGCAAATTGGACCAAATTGCAACTCAGTCAGCAAACAACAGGCACGAACCCAAGCGCCAAGCTGGTTCTGCGTGATGGACTTTGGATTCAAGCAATGAACATGTACCTGAAGGGCATGGCTACGGCGGCTACGGTGCTTTTCAAGGGCTTCAATCGAAAAAGTTCATTTTCAGTTCCTGTACCCATAGCACTGATTAGCACTGTATGATTGTAGGTTGTACATTGGACATACTTCTACAATGTCTACAACGTCGACATACGACATGCAAAAGTCTCTGGCCTTCTGGTAAGGAGAGGCCGGTTTCGAAGTGTCCAAAAGTGATGTGCAGGCTCGTTGCAGCCTTGTGTTCTTGAAGCGAACTCCCCGCAGGCGTTACAAGATCAACAAAGAGCACCAAAGAGCGATGACATCTATCACGATGAAATCTATCTATCATCATTCATCATCATTCTATTGTTTTATCTATCAACTCAATCGACTTAATCGACTTAATCGAGTTGCTGGGTGTTCCTCTGTGTTCTGTGCTGGCTGTGCTGGGGCCATCAATATCTGGGAATTCAACGATCTGTAGCAGCAGGTCTTGCCACCACCAGTTGGTCCCACCAGCATCATGCCATGGCCTGACGTTCGTTCTTTTCTTCGGATTCGTCTGTATGATATAAATTGATACAATATTCCTATGGCCATGCAATAATAGCATGTGTCATGCAATATTCATACATTGCCTTTCTACTCGATGTTATGCATCATTGTGCATGATGTTCATGATTGTTCATGCCGCCACACCATGTTTTCATGTATCCAAGCTCGTCATGTGTGGCAAACAAATGCAATTTGCCTTAAATTGTGTCCAGATGTCTCCAGTTTGTTTTGTGTCGAATAGAGTTTCACTCAAAGAAAGGAGCTGCCACGTTCTTCTTGTGCAATTCTGAGGTTCGTCGATCTCTGTAGCGTTTTGTCGTTCGATCTGAAAATGTCACACATGACATGATGATCCTGAGGATGCCACGCACTTGAATCATATCCTTGGCTCAAAGCTTCACGACCATTTACATATTACATCATATTACATCATGTTATGCATACATTTGCCTTGTGTATATATATAATACACACACACACCCTGCGGTACGTATCATCCTGCTTTTTTGTTTGTAGGAAAACATAGGGAAACACACAATGCGGCATGGTGCATGTTTTTCACCATGCATCGAACAGCTCGAACTGCTTCTTCACAAAGTACGGCACCGGCTGCAAGTTTTGGGTCAAACCTTGGTGATTTCGTGAAATGAAAATGGGAACTGAAGGAATCCAAGAAATCCCATATGCCTTAAAAGATCTTAAAAGTATATTCACAATATTATGATTATTATATATTATTATGATTATTGTATATTATTATGGGATTATTATACTGTATAATATACAATAATCATAATATTGTGAATATATTATGATTATTACCATCTGGTTATTTAACATAGCCATGGCAAATCCCTGATAAATGGAGGTTTTAATGGGAAAATCATCTATAAATGGACCATTTTCCGTGGCTATGTTAAATAACCAGAGGGTATATATTATTATGTCTTACAGCTTTGACAGCTTTGACCTGCCAGCTGTGGCACTTACTCTCGGTGTGGCATGCCTCTTCCAACCTGGGTCCAAGCACATGACGGAAAAACATGGAAAAACCAGAAATTGCACATACGAATCAGACACAGTATGACATGTATGACATGTATGACATGTATGACATGTATGACATGTGTGACATGTGTGACATGTGTGACATGTGTGACATGTGTGACATAGTTGTCAGGCTTCGGACCGACCATAATCCATCTGCGGCCTTTCGACCTGCGCATGCACCCGTTCTCTCCAGTCACTCAGGATACAAATTACATATCTGATGCATGATGTAAAATCGTGTAACTGCAACTGTCAAAAGCTGGTAATGTAATGCAAAGAACTCCATAGATTTCATTAAAGATTTAAATGTTTTCAACAAAGATTTAAAGTGCCCTTCAAAGGGCAGACCCGGCCCCTGGGAAAAGATCTGAGATGATGTTCTCGAACAGCGGCAGGTCATCTTTGAGAAACTTTGGCACCTTGAAACTTTGCAAATCTGGCCACAATGCCACAATGCCACAAACAGAATCAAGATCAAGATTAATCAAGCAGGATCGGACAAACATTGAAGATGTTTGAAACAAGGCTACCGGCAAACATGACTCCGGTCTCAGGTAGCAGCGTTGACATCGCGCAAGGCCCGAAGCAAGATTTGAGACCTAACGAAAATGCCGGACATGTTTGTCAAATGCATCTTACTTCAATGTCTTTGTCAAATGGTAGGGTCTTATGTGGCCTGATGTGGCCTGAGTACCTGCAGTTGCACTAGCCAAATCATGGAAGAACTATCCAAGACATTTCAAGAGTCTGTAGAAAAGGACCAATAGGAGGCACGCAAGTCGGACGTATTGCAGGTTGTCAATAGATCCATAGATATCCATAGATACAAGAGACATCAAGAGACGAACAGAACATCACACCAGGGAAGGCTCAGGAAACTCCACTCCACTACAGATTTGAATCCAGTTCTGCGGACATTTAGCAATGCTGAAAGGGTGAACGCATGGACTCATTCATGTATCTTCACCCATACTTACTACATCTATCTACAATCTCAAGCATTTACATAATTTTGCAATCAGAAGCACTTTCCGCCTCTCGCTAGATCGAGCCCCCAACTCACTCTGCTCCGGATATTGGCGTTTGTTCAGCCCTGCAGCTTCGATGACGGTCTTGACAGCACGCATGCCATAGTCCTCATCCCAGCTGCTGCAAATTTCAGCAACGAAGCTCACGTTCACTGGAAGCAACAAAAAGCTCCATTGATGTCAATTGATGTCAATTGATTCCACAATACGACCGCAATTGACATTTTAATTATGTATAGTACATGTAGACAATATATGATAATATTTTATACACACTCATACACATAATATATTTTTTGTGGCCTTGGATACGATATGATACGATGATACTACCTTGCACTTCTGGCACTTTGTTCCTTCTCGAGTCGCGGCTGGGAAAACTTGGGCCAGAACATAATGCGACTGAGCAGACAGTTGCTCACTGCACAACTGAAAGGTTGTGACCTGTGGCACATTGTGGCACTGCAAGCACTTGAAAATCTTTGAAAATCAGACTTGGAGTGGAGATGAGTGGAGTCAGGAGCAAATTGACTTCGAATCTACAAAGTCAATTGTCAAGTCGGATACATTGCTGTGCTGGACTTTTTCACGGCACCAATTTGTTGTTTTCATACCTACATTTCTGGGTCTACCAGCCCACACCACAAAGCATGCGAAGCATGCGAAGCACTAAGCATAGGACCATCTTCTTGGCCAAGTGACGACCTTTTTCAAAGCCAAAAGCGTAGAAGCTGATCTCTCCAATCAAACCTCGCAATGCGGGACAAATGGGACAAGTGGGACAAATCTGTCTCCACCAGCTGGGCGCCATGCCATAGTCTGGAACCATCATGGCCTGAGCACAACTGTTCATTGAATTTTGGAAAACGAACACATATTACAGAAACATGTCGTGAAACATGTTGTATTGTTGTATTATGTTGTATTATGTTGTATTTCTTGTACCCTCTGGTTATGACATTCACAGTTCGCCGAAAGCTCCACCATTGCTGTCAGGCTGCCATGGGTCGAAAAAGGGCAGCCAGGTTGTCCGGCAGCTCGGATCGACCGGCCTTGGTCACCAGTCACCATCCGGCGACGATGCCGGCGACGATGCCGGCGACCGAAGGCGACCGAAGGCGACCGAGGCGGCTAAGGTGGAGGCGTAGCCAGGATTCATGGTGATGAACACGTTGAACCTTCGAAACTTCAGAACCGGACGAATTCGGACTCCACAATTTTTTGACGTTAGATCAAAACATCCCACTCCAATGATTGCAGGTCAAAAAGCTTGGAAACAATTGGAGACACCGAACCAAATCAGACGGGAAGCGTTGGCTTCATGGTGATCAAAGTCGAGTCAAACCTCAGTGGAAAGTAACTCTGCGCAAACATGCTCTGACCTTTCCCACAACAGATTGACTCATTGGCTCATCAAAGAAGCAAAGATCGTGTGAATGTCCTGTGACATGTGTGCAATGCATATATATATATCTGTATATGTATCAAATAATTGTCATATTATATTTATCAAATATCTAAAGTGTTTTTCAGTGTATGATAGTGTATGTATATTATATATCATTACAGTATATCAGCGACCCTGTGGCTCTCAGTTGGCTCTCAGTTTCGAGCTCCAACTCACAGGTATCGTTGTAGGACTCTAAAGACTGTTTGGCAGTGAAGAGCTGCAGCCTCAGCTTCTCCCGCTACAAGGGCTCCAAGGGCTCCAATCTCATGCTACTCATCATGTCATTATATGATGTTAATTGATGATATATGTCATTATGCTGCTAGATGATACTACATGCGAATGCTATCAGAATATGTCAATCTACGTAGAATCTACATCAATATATATATATATCGTTCAAACTTTGGGAGCTCGAACTCTGACATTTCGCTAACGAAGCTCTCAGATATTTGCAATTGCTGCGCAATCACACTCAGCACTTCGATGTAGATGCGATTGAACCTAGATCGGCTTCAACCACGGAAGCCAAGTTTGTTTTTGCACACATGTGCCACAATTCACTGCTTACTTGTGCACTGCACATGCAAACACGGTTGGACGCTTGCAACAGGGACAATTATGGACAATGCACAGGATCACCATTCGGTTCAGCAGCTTCAGCAGTGTTCTGAGTGACATGCTCGTCAAAGCAACACCAAGCACCACTTGATGCCAAGCCTGTATGGGCATGAGACATGGGGGGGATAAGGGGCCACACGATTCAAAGCCAAAGCATGTTGGGCCAACTTGTTCATGACTAGCTGGTCACAAAAGACTTGTGAAACCACCAAGCACAAGAAGGACACATCCACATTACATGCCCAAACGGAACAGTTTGTAATTCGTTAAGATTGAGATGACATGAGATGACCTGCAATTTACATGGCATGATCTCTGAGTTTTGGTCCCTTGAAGAATTTGCCGACCATCAAGTAGTCCTGCCACAATCTTTCTTCGTGCCGACCCCCACAGCCACAACACTGCACTACGCTGGGAGCTTTGTCAAATCACGGTCCATCTCGGGTGAGCAGTTGAAGACAACGCACCTCAGAATGCGGAGGAATCCCCAACAAGAGGCACCATCAAGCATCTTAGATTCTTAAAATCTAGGTGTGTTGCACATCAGTCCATGTTTGTAGCAACAGGCTTGAGAGGTGCATGTCTATTTCTATTGTCCAGATTTTCCTGAACAATCTGAACAGTGAAGAGCCTCTCAAGAGAACTTGGCTAACACACTGCTTGGCAAGAGCTTTTGCCAAGTCTTTGGTCGTTTCAGTCTTGCCCGTGCCTGCGTGATGTGTCCAACTCAAGCTGGCAACTGAGTAAGTTGATGAGATCTACGGAACGCAACTCAGACCGCCCAAATCGAATCACAAAGCAGTTTGTTATAGTTTGTTCATGCTTGTAGATATGTGTAGATTATCTACTTGCTGACCTTGGTTCCACTCTTTCCATCAGTCGGATGTTTGTGGAACAACATTGCTGCACATTGCTGCAGCATACTCTCCCTGTTGGTCAATAGACCTATTATAAAAAAAAAACCTGATTCAACATGTCTGAAATGTGTCGAATTCAGGCAAACAGGTTATGACTGAATGCCCGCCTGCTGGTCCTGCAGGAGCACCTCCAAGATTCAAACTTTGTGCTCCCATCAAAGTCATGTAGCACCTCAAAGGCTGTGAGGCTGTTTCCATCTGTTTCCCCTCTTAGATTTCTCTATCTCTCTCTATGTCTCTCTTGTTGCTTGAGCTCTTGAGGATTTTGTTTTTGATCTGGCGATGTGAGGCAGGCACATGTCTGTCAGAGGTGTGATGACCAGCCGAAAGGAATTCCCAAGATACTCGTAGCCTGGCCCACGGGCACTTTGAGTGGACAAACTGCTATGACTATGGCAAACTGAGCTATCCACATGTCATGACATGTCATGACATGTCATGATTCACATGTCACAAATGGTCACGTTGCAGTGACACCCAGTGACACCTCTGTCGGGATAAGGCCCCCACCATAAGGGAATGGAGTTTGGACCATACGGATCCAGAGGTTTTCGGTGGCTCTGTCATCGACCTGCACCAAGCCCGTTACGGAAGAATACGGCAAGATACGACAAGTCCAATTGAAGAATTGCAGTGATACTACCCTCTGGTAATTTAACATAGCTATTGAAAATGGCCCATAGAAATAGTTGATTTACCTATTAAAGATGGTGATTTTCCATAGCTTTTTGTATGTTTACCAGAGGGTAAGTGATACAAACACAACAAATTCACTAAATTCGCAACGAACGATTGAAAGATCAGTGGCATCGGCACCTCCCAGTAGTACCGCAGTTGAGAGATCCATTCGAAGGAGAAGACGTCAGTCTGCGGAGCTGAAACGAAAAGTGGCTCCGGGCATACTGCGGCATACTGTAGATATCTGGTAAACTAACATAGCTATGGAAAATCACCATTTTTAATGGGAAAACTCACTATAAATGGCAATTTTCAATAGCTATGTTAAATTACCAGAGGGTAGATATCTGTAGATGAGATGTCCAGTCTGTCCAGTATCTCTGCAATCTGAGCATCTTGCGATATTGTCCTTGGCCATCTTCTCGACTGTGTCCTGCAACCGCAACAATGCTTAGCACTTGGCGGCCACAGCAAAGATCAGCAAAACACAGTAACCATCAGTTGACTGTAACCTACCGGACCCACAAACATCCACAAAGCTATCTGCCAAGATATCTGCCAAAATGCCTTGGCGTGCACGTCAATGACAATTAGAGCTCCGATGCTCATTCGCCTTGGGAGAAGCACAGCATGGCAGCATGGCACTGCCGTCAAAAGAGAGACGATATGGGTATGGGTCAATACCAATAGATACATTTTTAGTGGGATGAACATCCATTTACCAGCTATTTTGGGGTTCACCAGGGGTACAAGGTTTTGACACACTGCCATATGACAACATTCGAACGGACAGAAATTTCTGTGTTTCGAACTGCAACTTGGAGATGTCTCCACGGACGAGTCGGACAAGTCCCATGAGCCTCGCTGCATCTTCGCTTCAGACGAATGCCATATATATATATAATATAATATATATAATATATATATAATATAATATATATATAATATATATATATATATTATATATATATATTAGTATATATATTATAATATACACAGTATATATATATATCATTATAATTCACTATACATCACTCTGATTGCATGGCACTATGCAAGACATTGTGAGGCTGCATTGGCAAGCATGGTAAGAAGGCGGCTGATCAGATAGCTTCTCAAAGTAGGCAGAAAGGGCCTTGGGTTTCTGGCCAGATAGATTTAAGATGATTTAAGATTTGGATATGGATCAATACCTATTAATACCATTTTTAGGGGGATGAACATCCATTTACCAGCTATTTTGATGTTCACCAGGGGTACAAGGTTTTGACACACTGCCCAATCTAATTCAGTCTTCTCAGGACATCAAAGGACAGGCAACTGGTGATGTCCAAGACACGGCAGAGTCGATCGCCTCTTCGACCTCTACTGTCCAATGTACCTCACAGTCGATCAGCAACATGAAGGGCGACCCGACATATACACAAGATTACACAAGATTACACAAGTACAAATTGAAAAGCAAAACTACATAAAACTACATAAAACTAGACATTTTTTATTTTCAAAAGATCAATTTCCTTCAAAGCTACATGATGACTATTGATATTGATGACTCATGGTGGCATCCCCAATGGCCTGACTGGAGTTGAGGCATACCTGACCTGGCTGTTTCAGGACCTTAGCGGCCACAGGCGGCCGGTCACAGAGCAACCCGAGGTTTCTCAACTCAGCTCAACTCTCAGATTCTGACAGATTCTAACAGATTCTAACAGATTTTTAACTCTTCAAAGGTGAATTTGGTGCTAATAGGTGCTTTTTTCGGTGAATTCTGAGGCCTAGACCCACTCGGTTCTCGGTGTCTCGACATAGCTTTCGACGCCAATCTTGATGACCTTCGCGGGGTGTATCATTATATAAATTATGTGTATATATATATTATATATATATATATATCATCTAATTAAATGATAATCTAAATTATACATTATATATATATATCATTGTATCATTATATATCATTCCAGATTCGTTAGATTTCGTTGGGATCTTCTCATTCTTCTCCACGATTCTGACTCGCTTCAGTCAATGCCAGAACGTTGCAAGCCTCCCGAATCGCTGCCAGCATCTGATTTTCCACTTCGGTCATCCAGCTTTCCACCTGAGTTCGCAAGTTGTTCCATGGCAACCAATTGACAACCCATCAAATGAATTAAAATCATCAAATGCATTCGAATTGATACATGATTTCGTCTAAGTTCTCCACATTCTTCCCTGTGGTGTGCACGGGGCTGACCTGTCAGAAAGCAGTGGTCATTAAGACGTTTCAAGTCTTTTCTCAGGGTTGCTACTGATAGCAAACTCCGTTTTGGCAAAACATTGGAATAAAATGAGTTCCATTCAAATAAGATATTAGAAGAAAAGTAGTGGGTGGTTCACATATCGCACAAGTCGTGAATTGCGAGTGGCTTAAGAAACACGGCTTTGGATCGTTGAGAGGCCAGCAAAGTCGATGATCTCCCCCTCTTTAGAAACCATCTGCGTTGCAGACCTCACATGAAAACACCAGAAACTCATAACACAGACGAATGTAGATGGCATCACGGTTCATGTCATGGCTCGAGTCTCGTCCAGTCCGCTCTCCCAAAAGTCAAAAGTCCAGTCAGACGAGCAAAAGAAATCAAGATAAATCAAGATAAATGAATATAAATCAAGATATAAATGAAACAAATCAAGGCAAGGTCAGATCATGTCAGATCTCAGGAGTCTGCTTTCAAGTGACATGTTTCTTTGTTCATGCTTTCTTCAGGGAGATAAAGAAACTTCTCAGGGCACTCAGGGCACTACAGCTCTGAGGTGAAGGTCAGCTTCTTCATTGCCTCAAAGACCTGGAGTCAGCTGCATCCAGCGAGTGAACACCGTGTTCATAGTGTGTTCATAGAGTTCAGATGTGTTCAGAATGTGTTCAGAATGTGTTCATGTATTTGACCAATTTGGAACAGGAACAGGATCTTTATATATCTGTATGATCTTCATGAAAGAACACATAAAAAACATCAATCAAAATCTTCATCACAGTCTGAAATTTGATTTAGATCATGATCTATCAGTCGTATTATCATGAGTAACTGTGATGAAGATTTTGATATATTTTCATGATATATCACCATCATGATACCTTCTGGTTATTTAACATAGCCATGGAAGCCATGGCCCATTTATAGATGGTTTACCTATTAAAAATGGGTGGATCTTTCCATGGCAAACTGTTAGTCATAACCAGAGGGTATTTATCCCATTAAACCACCATTAAACCACCATTAAGTCACCATATTTTGATATATCAGTTATTTAGATCATCAGTTAAACCACCATTAAACCACCATTAAACCACCATTCGTGTTCTCCGCTCCGCTGCTGTGCTTCGCCTTTGACAGGAAGGGCTGCACCCTGAGGGGATCCTCTGGCGACGCACCATCAAAACCGAATCACACCTAAAATACATATTTTTTTTAATATAATATAATATATATGATATAATATATAAATATAATATAATATAAATTATAATATATATATATATGTATTTATATATTCATTCAATTATTTAATATTATTTATATACCGTAAATCTATGCAAATCTAATTAGTTGATCATAGTTGATCTTAGGTTTTGTCATGTTTTGTCACATTGTCCTTGGTCTGTGACAGGATCTCCAAGAGCTCATCCTCGCGTGCAGTGACAATACGTGACAGTACAGTGACAGTACCGTGACACTTCAGGAATTTCCCAAACCGTACGAGAATCCGCTACTCAGGGAGTCTCCATGAAGAGAACATGGAGAGGACAGCTGTGAAACAGTGACTGAGTTTGTGACATTCGAGAGGAAGTAGAAACGAGCAAAGGCTCCCCGCTTGGTTTCCAAATAGTCATCCAAACCTGTTTCAACGTTTTCAACTAAGTCTGACCGTCTGACCGTTGGAACAAGAGCGACATCAGTGGTTTCTAGGTACCTTTTTGGACCATGTCCAAGTCTGCGTTGGCATTGTTCCAGGTTTCCAGCAACCCCTCCTCAGACGAAAACAACTCTGAAGCTATCTGAAGCTTCAAATCTGGAAATCGAAAAAATGGAATCTTTGTATTCTTTGTAACATTTTGTAACATTTTGTAACACCACGTTTCACAAGAGCCCCGCCATTGAACAGGCTTGCAGAGCAGCTCCATTCTGATGAAGCCGCGCCATGGTCTAGCGGGAGTCTAGCGTCAGCTGTCAGCTCAGAGTTTGCGTCTGAACATATCTGAACGAAAGATGACATGTATCGAGATATCTCACATGTACTGACGACATGTGAGATATCCATAGATATCCGAGATACTGGACCGCATGCCTGGCGCCACTTGCTGTCAACCAAGCGGAATTTCTTGCCTGGAAGACCACAGCTGCCACAGCTGATTGAGAGCTGCACGTTTCAACACTTGCATGCCAGCTGCCAGTGACTGTACTGACTGATCATTGCAGCATGTCTTCGTATCGTACTTCGATTGTCGTATCAGGCCTTCAGTCGGGAGCTGCTTCATGATATCCGGTGAGTCGAAAATGGGTTGTAGATACATCCATGCCTTAGATTCTGCAGCTTGCTGTGGATACATCGGGCCATGGGTTGACATGAAATTAATATAATTCATGCTCATCAATATAACTCACATAATGACATAATATGGTCAATCTGACAAGTTCCATATATTTGACATACTGTATTAACACGATGTGACACGATGTGACACGATGTGACACGATGTGACGACATGGTATGACTCACATGATATGACAAGATGAAATGACATGTTCTCAAAATCATTCAAAATCTATATGCTTGTAAAATATTGTAAAAATCATTAAACATGTTCTACATATTTCTACGTAGAACTGTTCCAAAACTCTGGATGCAGATGCAGTATGATCGCAGTGCAGGCCGGGAACGCGCTGTACCTTCAGCCATCCATCCAAACACTCGGAGACATACAGGAGCTTCTCTGCCCACGCCTGGAGAGCGCTGATAGTACTAGGGTACTAACATGTACTAAGTATTTTCCTTGCATACTTCATCATACTTCCACAATCACATAGATTGATAAACAGATTGATAAACAGTTGTAAACTGTTAATTGTTCACACAGATTGACATGATTTTTTGGTGTGTTCAAATGCGGTGAGGTGTGAGGCTCTGTGCTGCACTCAGGCCATCACATCGATGTCCTCTTTGAAGGGCTTGTTGAAGGGGGAAAATTGCATGGCCTTAGTCGGTGCACGGCAACTCAAAGCGTCAGCATCCACGGTGAATGTCTCTGCAACGCCAGCGTCCCACCGTCCCTTCTGGCGAAGGTATCAACAGTGCTCTGACAGCAAGCTCTTTTGCTATGACACGCTGGCAAACCCCTGTTCGTCAAGATATTTCCGAAGGCGTTGCTCACCCAAAGAGCGAAGCTCCGGTGCAATTTCAACAATTCGTCTCTTGACTTCCCGTACTTCCAGCGGCTCAAATGTCAACAACTTGGCATAAAGATCTTTGTCTTTACGGATTGCATCTGCTACCAAGTCCAGCTTCTTCTCGTATTTTACATCAGGGCTCACTGAACTGGCGTCTGGGGCTGGACTGGTTGCCTTTGGACTGGCTGCCTTTGGCTTTGCCTTTGCCTTTTTTGGAGAGGATTTCTCCAGATTTCTCCTGGAGGTCTGGGAGGTCTCGATCTTTGGACTCGATTTCTCCAAGTTTTTCCGTTTGGTGGCCTTGCTCGCCTTCGTTGGCTTCTGCGGTGTTGGAGCTTCACGAATTGATTGCAGCCAAGCAGTGCCTCCATCTATGTAATCGACAATGTCATGGAGTCTTCGAATCATGAACTGTCGGCTTCCACTTGGCTTCAGCCCAAAAAACTGCATAAAGCTTCCCAATTCCTCGTCTGTCAGAGACTCTGGCTGCAGGCTCTCTGAATTCAAACTGGGTTCATCAAGTTTCTTGGACTCCTTTGTCTCATCAGGCCCAAATCCAACTGCATTGCCTGACAGCTTACAGATCTTACAGGCGTTCAACACGTTGGACATGAGTTTCAATATGCAAGCAATCAACAGGATGGATTTAGACTTCTGATATCTCCTGTGGAACTGCGGAGACGAGATCCGCTTTTGATTCTCTGTTGGATCTCTATTTCAAAGGTGCATCATGTCTTGACCCTTAGTTATCTTAGTTAGACACGCTCTCGAGGCCACACGGTAAAACAAACATGTTGCCAAATATGTTAAACATGTTAAAAACATATTACCAACTTTGCCAACGTTCTTGGTGTTCTCGATTTTATTTTTGCTCAATGAACATTTAACAATTCAAAGCCTTGAAAAACCCAACGATGACTTTAAAGTGTTATCAATCAATCTTGTCTGAGAATAAGTCTGAACAATCTGAACAGGTACAAAGCAAGGTTTACAACATCGGAGCCTGGGAAGAGAGGAAACAATGAAAACATACAAAAACAACAGGTTTTGATCTACATTTTTTAAATCCTGAAACGGCAATTCTTAGCGCAAGAATAATTACGACTTTAATCCCTTCGCAAAACTCCATGTCTAACTTTCTTGGGGGTGCCTGAATGCACTGAACCCACTTTCTTGCTCCTGGGAAATATGATCAACTATGCAATCTGCATGTAGGTGGAAACACTTAGTTGTCTTTGTCAGACCCTTTTTGGTGTGCTACGATACTATCCGCAGTTACACGTACGTCATCATCTCCACCGCGGCACGAAGAGAGGTTCAAGGGCTTTTTTTCTGAGGGAAAATTTTGAAACAGCAATGATCATCCCCATGTACAATCTCTACAAGGACCTTTCAATGAACTGCCATATACTCCCATAGATAAAAGCCCTGACAGCTTGAAGCTTGAGTGCCTGTGCCCTCAGCGGCTTCAGCGGCAGCATCAGCGGCATCAGCGGCATCTGTCCCTTGAGGGTCGGTGTCATCCAACAAGTCGTGGCCGCCTTTCGACTCTCCTCGTTTCCGTTGCAATCGTTCCACAAGGCCAAGGCCTCCAAGGCCTCCAAGGCTAGAAGTGGAGCCAGTGGAGACGGTGGAGCTAGTGGAGTTAGTTGTACCGGTGGCCAAGGCCGCACGAGAACTGTCAGCTTTCGCATCGCAAACGGCGCATGATTCGCATGATGCAGGTGAATGATGTGAATGATGTGAATGCGACAGCTGTGCCAGCTGGGTGTTGGAATGCTGCACTTGTTGCACTTGTTGCGCAGGTTGCACAGGCAGATCCTCTTGGCACTCACCTCGTTGCTGAAGAATTCCACGTCCCCACCGGCGCCAAAGAGCCATTGAGGCTGGCCGAGAGCAGTTTTGGTCGACAACGCCGGGCTCTGCACGCTCTGCTTCTACCTCGCCAGGACCTGAAGGGCCAAAGATGGCCAGTCAGTGAAGTCAGTGAAGTCAGGGACATGCACAGTGGCACAACATGGCACAACACACTTCCACCAAAGTCACGGGAGGCCAGATAGGCCGGAGCTCCAAGGATTGGACACACTATTTGTGGCCCCATTTTGCAACAAACCTGACCAAAAAACTCGTTTGTAGCTGCGATTTGGCAATATGTATGTTGGAGTTGCAACAAATGGATACAAATGGAGACTTCCAAGACGGCCCTCCAAACGTTTGAACGTTCTTCCTGATAGAACATGTAAATGGACAGCTCAATGGATAGCTTGTGTTTTGGGAGTGGCCTTTCCCATGCAAAGACAACCCCCTCAAAAAACATGAAAACACTATCATCTTTTTAAATTTAGGTTGGATCAAATGCATGGCACCAATTCTCAAGAAGTTCTGCTTTCTTGACGTCAAGCACTTACGATTTCTGCTAGAAGACTTGAGGATCTGGATGGATGTCGGAGAATGTCGGAGAACGTCGGAGAATGTCGGAGAATGTCGGAGAATGTATGAAATGATATGCCATGATATGCCGTTGCCGTGACGTGACGTTGGTGCATTTGGTGCCAGGCCTGGGACCCCTGGGACCCCTGGGACCCCTGGGACTTGCTGACCTTCATCTTCACTGCTCAGCAGAATCGTTGCCATACTCGGACTGCGAGGCTGTGCCGCTTGTGACGGTTGTGCTGGTTGCGCCATACTGCCATCAAGTTGACCAGGCGCATGTGGAGTATGGCTCAGTGCTTCAATGGAAGCAATCAACCCCGAATGTGCGTCAGAGTGCCTTGCCTTCCCAGGCACAGAAGGGAAGGTTGCAGCTGTCGGGCAAGCAGCTTCCTCTTCAATGCGTTCCCTGTTGAATTCGGCGGAACGACATTCCAAGTGGTCACCGATCTGACCTGTATCGGATTTGGACAATGTTGGTCCAGGCAACGACTTTACATCGTTCTCATCATATTTCAAGGCTGGATGAACAGAGCTTGCATTGATGTTATTTGCAAGAACATCACTGGGAAATCCCTGAGCAGCGTTCCACAAACTATTACTGGATTCTCCGGGAACTTCTCCCCTAGGGCATATTTCGGAGCTTGGTGCATCTGTGAGTAGCTCTCGAACATCATTGGATGCATCACTCAGAAGTGACAACAGCACCTGCTTCTCACTCTCCAGTTTGCAGATACCAGTCTGTAAGACCGTCAAACGCGCACGAACGTTCGCAGTCCAAATGGACAGCTGTTCGGGGTCAGTAGGTCTCGGCAAGCTATGCAACAACGACGGCTGAATGTCGATGGCCCGGTCATTGCGGGCAGCCTTTCGCTTCGGCATGAACCCACTGGACACCCATCGGTCTGTAGCCCTGAAAGCAGTCAACTGGAAAGCTTTAAATAGAAACACCTCAGGAATATATCAGGGATATATCCGGGATATATTCGGGATACCTTTATTTCTCAGGCAGCTATTGCAGGTGATGCAGCCAGCATTGGGGGATATGTTGATATATGTTGTGTCAAGTTGTTGTGCAACTTATGGTCCATTCATGGTCTCATGTGATTTGCTCCCCAGCTTGGCGAGCCAAATCCAAAAGTTGGCGGGTCTCATGTCTCAACCCACCATGATCCAGTTGATTGGTTGGAAAATTTACAGGTTTTAACCCCATATATTGGGAAAATCGATGGTTTCCTGGAGATTTTCCATGATTTGATCCAACTGATTGGTTTTTTTGGGACAATTTACAGGAACACCCCATATATTTACTGGGAAAATCGATGGTTTCCGGTTAAGATTTTCCCCTAAACCAATCCATTGAATCCAGCTGATCCAGTTGATCCATAGGATCCCTAGGCCTGTGTGATCACAATCTGCTCGTCCACCAATGCAATGACTTCATCTGCGCCTGGAGGTTGGCTATGGCTACTTCTTGTGGCTAATATGAAAACCCAAGTATATAACTAAAAATAACTAAAGTATGCTGATATATATAAATATTATATATATATATAAATCACTGATATCTGTTGCATGATGTTGCGTGAATCAGGAGTAAAACCATAAACTTTCTGAGAATGGCACCTTTCAAGATATATGTCTGCGTGTTTCGGTAAGGCCTTGGTGCTTAACACGCTCGAAACAGTCGACCATTTTCGATGGCTGTGGTGACCCATGAGGCCGAATTGTTTTCAAATGTGTTCAAGCAAACTCTTGCTGCGCATCATGCTGAGTCGATGTTTGTCCATTATCATCCAGAACATCTATTCTGCAATTACGGAGCCTGGAATCCCTGGATCAATGCTCAGGTCACCGGCACACGCTTTTCAGCTTGACATCGCACATGTAGCTACGTCCCACCCTTGAACATGGACAGCGAACAAATACCAAGTGATCAAACATGAAAGGTCACATGTTTCTGCACAATCTCACTGGTTCTGTTTTCTGTTGGTTTTGTTCGCCATCGTTCATTCGACGTGTCCTCGGCTTCATGTGAATCAGTCAGACTCACTTTGAGATTTCCCTGCCAAATCCTAAGATGGTCACGCAGTGGTCGGCTGCGCTTTGTGAGACCATCGGCCAACATGGCTTCAGTTGGAACCCATCTCAAATTCCTGCACGTCTGTCTAAGTGCAGCTATGTCAATCTCTACACGTTTCTCAGCAAACGATGTCGCTAAACGGTGAACAGCATCAAACAAAGACCTGGCATCTGTGACAGGCCAAATGGCAAATGGTGATTTGCCTGAATGAGAGGCTATGTACTCAGGACACGTCAATTCACCTAGCATACATCCTAAGAAATTCGCATAGTCTTCAGACTTATCAAGGCTCGCCGCTTCAGCTGCCAAAGTAGAGCGTAGCACACGCTGGTGTCGATAGCTCTTCCAATCCAACAAGGAGGCATCCGTCTCGTGGTGAGCTGCCTTTTCTGTCGTTGCTGCAATCAAAAAGCCACCTTGAGACTTACCACCTGGAGCATTTGCAAAAGCAGAATCGCCGTAGGCAACCAGGATCAGAGAGTCCAATGGTATGGGCCTGATGGTGATGTGAGAATCTGCAGTTGCTTTGGCATACTTGAGAATGGCATTTGCCTCCTGCAAGTCACCGTAGGTCAAGTCATTGTGTGCCCTCTGAAGCAAAGAGGTATCTGCAGCTAAGTCAGGACGTGTTGTGCCAGCCATCCACTGGAGAGAACCAATGGCAGAGCGAAATTCAGACATAGCATCGCGATCTGTTCCCATTTTCGCTTCAGGGTTGTTCTTATTCTTGGAGATTATCACATCAGTTGCATAATGACTTTGGCTTATGGTTATTCTCCCGTCTTTTTGCTTGACAAGTCTTCTACCAACAAACACAAAATCATTCTTTTCCCATGTGCTACCCCAAGAAAAACTTTTCTCGACCTCTTTCAAAACATCGGCCTCAAGAGAACTTGCTATGATGTCATCAACGTGGACGCCCAAAACGGCGATCACCATGCCACTCTCATTCTTGTAGAGAAAGATGCAGGGATCCAGAGAATGCCGCACCCAGTTGAGTCGTGTCATCACATCCAGCACATGTAGATACCACTGTCGTGGTGCGTTGGCTTGTCCATATACTGGTGCATGTAGTTGATACAACTGGCCAGGATTGTGAGACCACTCAGAGATAGCTTCCAAAGAAATGCCGTCCTGAGGTACTTTCATGAAGATCTTGCGAGGTCTTTCATCATCAGGCTTCCCTTGAAGAAAAGCCGACTTGCAATCTCCATTCCAGAGGTCCAGATTCAAACTGCATGCCCACTGGAGGATGCACATCAGACCGATGCGGCTCAGCACTGGCGCATCGCGTGCCAAAAGTGGAAGGTGTGGGTCACGAAATCCTTGGATGACAATCCGCGCCTTGGCTTTGAAAGAAGCGCCTCCATCAAGAGGCTTCCACCTGTAGCACACCCGTGAAGGCAGTATAAGCTCTTTCGGAATGGTGCTTGTGTCGCCCTCAAACTTCTCGCATGAAGACCATTTGCACCACTCTGCCCACTCCTTCTGAATGGCTTCCACAAAAGCCGGTCTGTCTGATGGATCAATTGCTTTCCAAGGAAGTTCTCTTTTCAAGGCCTGTCGCTGAGTCCTTTTCAAACCAGCGTCTTCCTCATCTGAGGTGTCTGGTAGAGCTTGAAAGTTCTGGTTGTTGGCAACAAAAGCTTCGTAGCTGGCAGGAACATGGTCTTGAGAAGTCATCCAAGTAGACTGCTGTTCAGCCAGCTGCTCTTCCCAGTCAACCAGATTGCATGCCGCACTAAAGTGTGAAGGAGTGCGGCACAGAGACTGAAACTCCATTGACGTTCCATCCCAACCAGATCTATAAGCATCAGTCCGGCCATGGCGCAGCAAAAGCACTTCTTCTGGAACATGGTGACCAAACAAAAATCGATGCTTCTTGATCTTGCGGGCATCTTGTCGAACATCAAAACTTCGTGAAGCATGGTAAATGGTAATTTGATGTTCTGGTGAAACTTCAAAAGAAAAGTCAGTCTCCACATTGGCTAGCGTCGACCAGATCCATGAGCTAAAAACAGATGACCAAACTGCCGTGCTCATCAAAGGTGATCTGGTAGCGCTCTTCTGCTTTGTGAGGCCTTTTGACCGAAAAACCTCATTATTGTTCCAAGAGCCCGTCTGCCAGATCTTGTTCAATTCCATCTGATCTGGTAGATGAAGCTCATCTGAATGCGCGAGGGCGGAAGGACGCCATCTTGAAACTCTGGCATCATACTCCGCATCTTCGTCGAACCAGTTTTGAACTTGTTCAGGGTGGTCTGTAAACTCATAGCATAGGCAACGACTACATTGGGTCTTGCCGGAGTCAATCTGCTTGTCGAGGCTGCCACAAAACTGGCAGTAGGATTTTGAATTCATGGTGTACGTCTCGTACAACAAAAGGCTTGCATTGTCGGGACGTGGCTCGTCCACCTGTGCGTTGGGTTGATCTGCATCTCGCATTTCAGCCTGGGCTGATCCTTCTTCTGGCACTGGTTGAAGTGGTGCTTCAAGCCCAGGTGTGGCTTGTCGTGACATCTCGTTGACACTCTCAGGAAGTGGCAAAGTCAATGAAGACCTCCTGGATGAAGGCGCTGACGATTCAGTCTTCAGCCGCTTGAAGTCTGGTTCTCGGAGTGTTGATGCCGCTGAAGAACGCCGTGAAGCTGTCGCTCCTGGCATGTCGAAGTCATCGTCGGGAACTGGTATGACAATTGGGTTTGGCGCAGTGGTGTCATTGGGTCCATCTTCCAAAGGTGTTCCAGAGGCATCAAGAGGTCCATCGTGGACGACCTGTTGCTCACTCTGGGATTCGTCTTCCAAAACTGCAGTCCCCGGTAGAGCTAGTAGAGGAACAGCTGGTGGTTCTGGACTTGGCGTGTCAGGTGCTGGAAGGGCTGGAAGAGGAGCACGAAGATCATGTTGGCCAGCATGTTTTCTATCCAGGTCTTGCTCAGCATGTCGTAGCAGGGCAAAATCAGCTTCGCCGGGAATCCATGCCTCTTCGCCATGTAGATTTCGAACTTGTTCTCGTGCAACTTGAACCACTCTTCCTCTGTCATTCCGCAACCACAAAGATCCCGTAGGGCCAGGATTGGCTGCCAAAATGATACCCTGTCGGTATCCAGGCTGTGACCCTTCGTTGTCCAGGCTGTTTCTCAGCCGCCAGTAAACCACCTTCTGACCAACTTCATAGGCGCCTCGCCATGGGCGACTTCGACGCAGCATCGCTTGTCTCAAGGCTGAGTCATTGTCCATATCCAGGAAGGTTCGCATGGCATCGTATCGAACTTGCTGAATCATCTGCATCCTTTTGCTCAAAGTCATCTGGTGCATGGCCTCTGGGTTCTCCGTCTCAGAAATCAAGGAAGCTGGAAGACGTGGATTTTGACCGAGGACCCATTGAGCTGGACTTGCACCTGCTCTTCGTGCCAAGGTGTTTTTGGCATGGGTGGCCATAGTGGCTATCACATCCATATCTTCAGCTCCAAGAATGCCATGTTGATGAATCAGGCGATGCATGATTTCACGAGCAATATCTCCATGTCTTTCGCCCTTGCCCAACTGGAAGTGAGCGTCTGGCGGTACAAATCGTACCTGAATGCCGCTCTGAGCCATCAGCTCGTCAAATTCAAAGCTCTTCATGGCACCTTCTGCGTCGAGAAGTAAAGCTTCTGGCAGTCCAAAGTACCTGAACCATCCGAGGCACATGGTCTTGTTGACTTGTTGAGCTTCTCGACTTGGTAGAAGGGAAAGAACTTGATAGGTCGTGGCATCATCGACCTGGTTCAAAAAGGTAAAGGTCTCACCTGACATGTCTTTGACAAAGACCAAATCCAACATCACTCGCTCATTGAACCGTCTGGTAATTGGCATAGTCTTGGATGGCCTTTGCTGTCGTGGTGGCCGAAGTCGATCGCAAACAGCACATTTCAGAGCTCTGGCGCCCATCAAAGCTGTTGGAGTAGCATTGGCTTGTGCAAGTTGGCGGACCAGTGTGCTGTTGTGAGGATGTCCCAAGTTGGTGTGAACACGCCTCAGCACAGATCTCATCCATTTTGGCAATTGGTCCTCACTAACGCCAGGGAAGGTGATATCCTTAGCGCCAGGTTCCCAGTCAGCCATCACTTCTTCAGGCTCAGCCTCGATTGGCTTTGGAGTAGCAGCTGCACGTCGTTGAGCGGAGGTTGCAACTTCCATGGGCTTGCCGTAGATGAAGATCGCAACTCGCACTGTTCTATCGAACTTGGCAGCTGGATTCGTGACCTCGTCCAAAGCTTGAGACTCGACGGCAATAGAGCCATCTTGATACAGCAGTGCAGCTGCTCTATGAGTGATGTCAGGAGCCTCCAGCATCTTCTTCGCAGGCAAACGTCTGACCTTAGGAGTTCTGTAGATCTGGACGTAAGAAAGATGCCAGGGAACCAATGCCTTGACTTGTTCAAGATAAGCTGAAGGTTTGATCTCAGCTGATACAGCTACTTTGCCTTCCAAACGTTCGACTGCTTCTTTGAGTAGAGGTCGCCAACCATCAGGATCTCTTTGCAAGTCAACATAGTTGGTTGGCGCAGGTGTTGAAGGTGCAGCAGTTGGTGTTGGAGGTGCTGCTGATGAAGAGGCAGGAAAGTTGTTGAAACTGGCATCACTTGAAGCTGTGGCTGTCAAAACAAAACGCTCATCTCCCAAATCCTGAAGGACAAGCATGAGACTGTCCACCAAGGAGCGTGCCAACTGTTTTGTGTAGATGGCTGCCAGTTGAGCGTTGCCACTCATGCATTCTTCATGTTCATGACATCCATCACACTTCTTAGTGACACTTTTCAGCAAAGTTGGGTGATTCGACAGCCAGCCTGTTGGTTTCTTCATCAGACCACCATGCTTGCCTCTAAGTCCATAGGCACACATGTGGCCGAAGTCGTAATGAAGATCCAACTCCTGCATCAACTTCAGCATAGCAGGTTGTTTCCAAAAATCTCCAAAGTGAGGGTTTTCCAGGAGAAAGTATCGCCCATCACGGACTATCTCCCTGATGTGGTCGGCAGTCTCTTCCACGGTCAACTGGGCCGCTTGACGAAGTTCCTGGAGCTCCCCTGGTCTCCAGTAATAGTTGAGATTTGTCAAAGGTGACCACAGTTTGCATTCAGGTTCAAGGACCGTGAGAAAAGGAGACCATTGCTTCAACATCGACCTCAGCCAGGCATAGTCCTTGCGAGTCGTCAAGTTGACTCCGTGGATCTTGTCGATTGGCTGCAGAGCTTTAAGTCCACATTCCAAGGCTCTTGCAGTTATATTGGCATGTCCACCATAGATCTCGACCAAGTCCACCTTGTGACGTCGAAGGCGACGATTGCTTTGAACCAAGTTGTGGTAGATTGAATGCTCCACCATCCAGATTCTGCGCAAAGATCTAACTGATCCAAGCAACCTCTTCTGACGTCCTGGCTTCATAAAGGCAAACTGCTGATCCTCGAAAGTCAAAGGAGCATCAGCAGAACCTTGCAGTTGAGGTCTCAAAGGCCATGATCGCTCTCGTTCTCCATCATTTCCTCCTCGGGAGTATTCTCCAAGCCCCAATCGTAACCCTCCTGTTCTTGGGCTTCCTCCTCCTGCCGATCCTGATCGCAGAAAGTCCAACTCTGGTGGGATGCAGCTTCCATCTCCTCGTCTCTCCTGCTCCAGAACTTCTTGTACTCGTTGTGGAACCTGGTCCTCCATCAACCGTGTCAACGCCGGAGGCAGACTGGAGCTCGGAGATAGATGTGGTGCCCAGGAAGAGTCCCGAGACGAAGGCAAGAAAGGTGCCCAACCAGAAAACGGCGTACTTGAGGTGACCGAAGCCTTGGCTTTGGCCCTTGCCTTGCCCTTCGGCAGTCCCAGAGGTGTCTTGGCTTGAGGACTGGCCTTGGGCTTGACGGGTCGGAGTTGTCCTTGATGAAGAACGGCTCTGTAACCGCAAAGGTCGCAGATTCGAATTGATTGGCCTGCTGCTCCGTAGGTCCGCAGTCCTTGAGGATGACTGCAAGTGTCTGGATTCTTGGCATACTCGTTCAGGTTCATCGCAGACTGGACTGTCATAGCTGCCATCGTAGTCTGCATGGTTGTTGCGGTGCTTGGAACCATGAACTTGCTCAGAATCCGGTCCCTCAGGTTGTGACGCAAGCTGGTTGCGGTGTAGTAGAGGACCGACTTGCAAACACTGTTGATCAGGCCGAGCAAATTCATCATGACTCGACGCCAGTGCTTCAGCCATTGCGGAGGTGTCCGGCTGAACATAGCCAGGTGGCTGAACGGCAGGATGCTTCGCTCCAGGAAGCTCTTGAGCCTGAACTTCGGATGCCGTAGGTGCCCACACATCTGGCAAATTGTCTTGGTTCAAGGACATGTCGCAAGGCCAACTTGGCATGGTAGTAGGCCACTCATCCAAACGAACTGCTAAATGACCACAGCTACTCAAATACAAAGGTGAAGTTGTTTTCAAAGCCCTATAGTGCATCTTCCCAGCTGAGATGTCTGGGATGGCATCCAAAACTGTCAGTGTCTGTCGTGACATCAGTGCAGGTGCATCCGCATCAACGCATGAAAAAAACATGACCGCAAAATGATTTCCAAGTCCAACTGGATATGCAAACCTCTCATGTGATGTGGAACTGGTGCTTGGCCCAAAACGAAACTGGCATCTTTCTGAAAAGGTCAAGCGCGGAAGGTCAATCTGAGAATGATGGGCGTTGTGCCACATTCTACCAGCTACTTGCCGTTGACAGCCAGTGTCGACGATCACCAAGCAAGGCTCCTGGGCATACTGCATCAACAGCTGAGGAGCACGATACAGCATTGTGGAGCCATCAGGTTGGTCTCGCTGTTCTGCATCATCACCAGCTTCACATGACAAAGTCAGCACAGTTGCCGAAGAGGAAGTGGAAAAACCAATTCGAGCAGGCATGGACTTGGATCGCTTCAAACACTGATGTCTGGAAGCCATGGCTGAACTACCGCACACGTGACAAAAACTACCTAGGGGAGCCGGTTCGGCTAGGTGTTGTTTGCTACCTAGATTTGGCCTTGAAGGCTCTTGGAGTCCTTGGGTCTCCACCCCATATTGTTTCGACCCCGCAGCTGCTTCTGTTCTTGAGGTTCTTAGGTCCTCAGCCTGTTCTTGGCCCTTTTCTTGCTGCGGAGCCGCGCAAATTTTATTGCGTTCTTTTGGTTTCAAAGGGGCTCTTGAGGTCTTTAGGTCCTCTCCCTGTTCTTGGTATCCCTCGCAGGGTGACAAAGGAGATTGAATGGCCCTGTCCTCCTTTGGAGGATGAAGCCCAAGCTCGCGCCTAGTCTGCTCTATGTCACGTTCTACCTGGGCAAAATCTGTACAAAAAACTACATCGAAAGCATCCAAAGAATCTCGGAAGTCATCAGGATTCATGCCATCAGCGTCAGAACCCGGAGCATCGTGGCACAGCATGGCTGCATGATACTCCTCCCGGGTCATGCCGTGCTGAACCCAAATTGGATCCTCAGAGAAAACATCGCTGGAAGGTGCGGCTGCCTCAGAACTTGCAGAAGCATCTTGGCTGTTCACCATCCAAACCACAGTGCCATCGCCGTCCAAGGTGGTAGTGGCTGAGCAAACATGAGCTTGATGCAAAGTCACATTTGGACAGTCTCTCAGCCAGTGATCTGACGCTCCACAGCCCAAACACAAACTGGATTCCAAACGCTGTCTCTGTGTGGGGGACATCTGACTTGAACCCCTGCTAGATTTGCTTTGGCCCTTGGAAAAAGACTTTGATTTCCCTTTGAAAGAAGCTGGTTGTGGGGAAGCAACACCAGGTTTCTTGCCCTGACCCTTGTCCTTGCCCTTGGACTTGCCGCCACTTGCAACGGACTTGCCCTTGCCCTTGGACGCATTCGTGTAGTAGCCCCTGGACTGGACAGTCGCTGCAAGCTTCTTGCTCGTAGCGGTCAAAGCCTGGTGATCTTCTCCATCTTCAGGTGGCTGTTCGGCATCTACGGCTTGATCATCGCCAGCATCTTGAGGTGCACCATCTGGGTCCTCCTCATCATACTGGTACTCAAAGCCATCATCCTCCTGGTTGCCGTCATACTCATGGGTCTCCTCAGCGGCCGTCATGTAGGACTCTACATTGTCGTCCTCGTTGCCCTCATCAATGGGCTCGCCATGGGTGTGCCAAGCGCGCCACTTTGATGAGGTAGAAGATCTGCTGGAGATCTTGCTGCGAAAAGACCCGCGTGAAGATCCCTTCGAAGGCTTGGAGCTCAAAGAAGTGCCCAAGGTTGGATGACGTGCCAAGCCCGTCAAGGTCAAACCAGGGGGATACTGAACCCGAATGGCGTCAACCAAAGATTGGAAATCATACTTGTTTCCAGCCGCAAGCAAAAGTTGTGAGGTGGCCCTTTCATCTAAACGAAGACCATCGAGGAGTTTCACAGCTCTAGTTTCACTGGGGTACTGAGGAATCTTTGCATCTTGAAGTTTTCTTTCCATCAAACGAAAACGACGGACAAATGCAGTGACTGATTCCCCTAGCACACGAACCATGGACTCAAACTCTCTGATCAAACCACCTTTTCTAAAAATCTCTTTCTCTCCGAAACTCACACTCAGGTCCTTGAGAAGCGTCTCAATGCCGTCCTTGGTGTTATACTTCGAGTCATCAACTTCTTCGAACTCGAGAGCAGCATCACCAGTCAAAGCATCCAAGGCCCTGAGAGCTTGTTCGTTCTTGGGGAGGTACTCCTGAGTGATCGTGGTCCACCTTCTCAGCGCTCTTGCATAGTGTCGGAGGCAGAATGGATCTATCTCGACGTCACCTGAGAACGAAGGAGGTGCTGGAATGTGGCCTGAACGCCATCTTTTGCTCTTCTGACCTGATCCACGTGACCCCCGGTGGCGCCTAGAAGTTGTGTTGGAACTGGAAGGCACAGGGTCAACAGATTGGACCGACCGGTCACCATCATCTGCTGCTCCATCGCCAAAGTCATACTCTGGCTCAGATCCATGTCCACTAAGACCAGCGCCAAAACCTTCGGCTGCATGATCACCCTCACCTGCGCTCGGGCTGGAGTACAAATCTTCGAAGTCCTCGAAAGACATCTGCCAAACCAGCAAGCTGCAAGGAGTGCGCCGTGACGTGAACAATCAGCTGGCGCTACCAATGCAATTACGGAGCCTGGAATCCCTGGATCAATGCTCAGGTCACTGGCACACGCTTTTCAGCTTGACATCGCACATGTAGCTACGTCCCACCCTTGAACATGGACAGCGAACAAATACCAAGTGATCAAACATGAAAGGTCACATGTTTCTGCACAATCTCATATTCAATATATTCATTTTGCATTCATTTTGCATTCATTTCTGTATTTTCTGTTCATTCTCTCCTTCAGTCTCTTTCCCTTAGAAGCCTTAGCTGTTGGCTCACTGCAGTCGAACTTCATATTGTCCCACCTTAGCACCGTGAAAACACATGAAAAAACTCAGGACTCGGTCCGGTCATGTCCGGTCCAGAGAAAACCATAGAAAAGCCTCTCACTGGACTACCTGGTGACTACCTGGTGACTACCTCTCGGTCTCTTCAGCAGTCACTTTGTGTCACTTCAAGCAGCACTTCGCCCAGGCAGGTTCTGAGATTACGACGCATTGATCATGTTGGTAAGCTGCGTCTCTATGGACAGTTCTTTGCCACTCTTCTCCCCAATGTCATTGATCCTGAAAAATATCTTCAATGTGGAGTCATTTGCAAATAAAGCCCAACAGAAAACCAAAATAAGCATTGACACTTTGAGTTGCTCTGATTCAGGTATGTCACTCAGCCCGGCACTTTGTCACATGTTCAAGCATGCCTCGTTTAAACTCTGGATGCTACAAGACTATGCAAGACTTGTGAAAGCTCGGAAGCAGAACTAACAACTTGAAACATTTTGGATAAAGGGTCTGAGACCCGAGCCCATGGAAACGAAATGCTTTAGGGTGAAGTCCTCCATGTCTGGTCCTGACACATTGCAAACATCTGTAAACTTCATTACAATTTTGGTCTTTTTGAAATGTCAAATCAGTGAACGTATCCAGAAAGTGCGTCTTCATGCATCTTGCAAGGTGAACTGTGCAAACACGTGCAAACACGTGCAAACACGTGCAAACATGGCAGCCGATTCAAATGTGCACTTCAAACTGTGACCCGGGCTCACATCTTGGCGGACCAGTTCGCTCACCTGCCAAAAGGGTTCTGCTGTCTGCCATTGGCATGGAGACGAATATATCTAATATATTCTAATATTATCTAAGATATGCGCACAACAATTAAAACTGCAAACATCAACATTGAGGCAATAAATGAAGACATTGCATGACATCGCGAGATGTTGGACAAGCGTCTCTGAATGTATCTGCGTATCTGTGAATGTCTCTAGAACTCTGTGTTTGGACCTGGTTCCAGTGGCGCTCGCGCATGCCCGCATTGCGCAGGCCAGTGACCTTCTGCAAAGTTCAATTTTCAAACTACATAAACTACTCTGAAATACTCTGAACCTTTTCTATCTTTTCTATAGACACTTCAAGATTCTTCAAAAACACTGAATCATGAATCATTTCATCTTCACTTCCCACCACCTCCCTCTATGGGGGCATTGCTAGCATCTGTGCTTCTGAACAGGTGACAATTTGCCGCTAAGGAGAAGGCAATGGGGAGGTATGGCTGGAACGCATCAATCTGTTCCTTGCATCGTGCATCCGTCTTCAGATTTTCCCAAACCACATTTGGAAGTACGAAGCGCGGGTCCTTGATGTCTCTGGCGATCTGCAAAACCTTTGCTGCATCCTCGCGCTTTTCCAACGCTCTCACCTGTGCGCTCGAAAAGCTCAAGCAGTGCAAACCCAGAGCTTTCACTGCTTTCACCACGAGTTTGAAAGCACGTCTTTTCAAAAGCCAAAACTGGAAGCTGTCAAGAATGGATTCAGAAGCTTTCAAGACATTGGAACAAGTCAGTACAAATTTCAAATCTCTGAGGTTTCAAAAAGTTCTCTGTTCAACGCCTTCAATGCCTTCAACATATTTCAACGTATTTCAACAATTTCAACATCTTCGCCCGTTCGCATCCGCCCTGTGGCCCCCCGCGGTCTTGAACAAGGTCTTGGCGCCTGAGGTCACCCATTGCTCACCTGCCACATGCGAAGTGACAGTATGTGACAGTATAGAAACACCGTGTGAAAACATAGCAAACACATAGTAATAAAGTGGTCAAGAAACGCGGTTGGAAATTGTTGGAAGGTCATGAGGTGGAACATGGCCCTTGACATACAGAAGGATACATAGAACTTGCGACATGTTCAGAAAACATGACATCCCTCAAAAAATATCAAAAAATGACACCAAGTTGCAATACTTGGCATCAATCTCCTGGAAGGGTCCACTCCTGAGACAGCATGATATCTTAACATATCCTGACTTTAAGCATCTTGAAGCTAACTATGATTATAATTATAATAGTATTAAAAATGTATTAAAAATGTGACTTCGCTGAATCATAGAGCTCTGTCACTCCACTGAGTCTATTAGAACTCTGATGTTTGTGCTCCGCACATCCACTTCTCGGAGTCTTCGATCCAGTGATATGCAGTGACCTTTCCAAACAGCATTGCGTTCTGCGTTTTAGAAAAGCTCCATAGAAACGCATGCTGCAAGAGAAAAAATCAAGGCTGCAGCCCAGAGATTGGAGAAGGGCTCCCATTCCTCTGAAGCAAACCAATATCTACAATGCAGAGCAGGAAACTTGCGGCGCAATGCGACAAGCGATAAATTTTTGACCGGTTTTTTCTTTTAATATCCGCATGTTTTGACAAAGGTCTTGGAAATCAACATGGCACTTATGAATACTTATTGACACAATGAAAAATGCGGTCGGCACAGGCCTTCTGCAGTTGTTGCAAATGGCTGTAGTCTGATGATTCTTGCCCAAACAATGCCTCACAAAATTCGAATTTGTCAATTCCAAGCCGGGCTTCGAGGGTCACTGGCGGTAGCTATGCTGAGGCGATCGAAAGGCAAACTGAAGTGCTTTACGACTTTAATGACTTTTCGCCACAGACATCCACAGACCAGAAACCAAAATGACAGAGATTAACAATCGAACTAACTGAACAGTACAGATTAATGCAGAAAGCAAAGTCCAGTGGAGCATCAGGATTACCGTCGATGCCTCACGGGAATTGAATAGCTTGGCTTGTCCACTGGCTTGTTTTAAGCGCTCGTTGACACCTTGGGAGCACGAGGTTCTTGTCGACGAAAGGCGTTCAACAGATTGAGGAACATTGGATTCTTCAACGCACAAAGAAATCATCTAACATATCTCACTATATCTAATCGTCCACACTGAACCCTGACCATTTGCATTGGACCTAGGCTCAACCTACCGAAGTCCCAGCTGGTCTCATTTCATCACATTTCTACATCTTTACCAGGGCCATGGCTCTCGACATTTTCATGGATCTCCTGACAGTGATGCTGCTTACTGAACGCGAATGGCATCACAACGGCTCGTTGTTACGCCTTGATGTTGGCCAGGTTGGAATACTGCGAAAAAGAATCCACAATTCCGGCCTAGGAAGTGCAAGGAATGTGCTTCTGCCTACAATTAAACATCCCGTCGGCTATGCTCATGTCAAGATTCTGACCAAATCCACCAAGTTTTCATCAAAGTCCGTTTGCTCCTGAACAAAGACATCCAGCTCACAACTCGAAGGGTGCCAGAGAAACACCATGAAACAACTCTTTGTTTTCAGTGCTCATAGTGCTCTTGCCATTGTTGCCACATGAGGCCACATGCCGCATGTTGCCACTGCCTGCTGCATGTCTTTGAGGTAGCCTTTCTCGGCCTTGGCCAACTCTTGCTCCACCTGACATCATGACATCAAGGGCTCTGAGATGGTGAGATGGTGAGAGTGAGAGCGGCACAAACTTCCAGATACTTCCAGCATCTGCAGCATCTAAAAACTTTGGGAAGCTTTGGGACTTTGAATCAATTTGATGATTTTTGATGATTTTTGATGCCTGGGCCATGAGGTCGAACGTCTGCTTTGGACAAGCGAAGACTCGCCAGCGTTGGTGAAAATCATCCTTAGCTGTTGCTAGGGATCGTCACAATTCCGACAGAAGTCCCCAGCAACGCTCAAGTCTATTCAAATCTCGTGATATATTATCTCGTGCTACTCGAGCAGGTCAAAAGAACTAGGGTGCGATATGGTACTATGAATCTTCTGAATCATTCTTATTGCTTTTTCATTCTCTGCTGGGAGTGAACCTGAGTGATGCACGTTTGTGAGCTTGACCTCGAAGCCCTCGAGGACCTTTCGTCGACAATCTTTAGTTTACCATGCATGTTACACTGTCTAGCAAAGAATGGACAAGAGCAAAGATGAGCAAAGTATAGCAAAGTCTTGTTTTTGGAACTATGCTGCGGATCTGTTCATCTGTTCATCACATTTCGACCCATACCTACTTCATCCTTAATTTTTACAACGGCATCTTCACTGACAAAAAGATCATGGCATCATGGTTTTTTGGATGGTTTTTCGGATTGTGGCCGAAGAAAATGAAGAAACCAAAAAGCGCTCCTGGAAGATCTGAATGCATTTGCCGATGTCTGGCGATGTCCTGTCGAATGCTGAGAAACTGACGGGTCGAAGCGCTCAAGGCTTCTGCTACTGCCACTTCCGCAAAGATCCGCAAAGCGAATGCGTTAAAGTCGTTATATACCATGTTATATACAACTCTTTTGTCGGGGTTGTGGCATATCTTGGCTCAGTAGTGCTCAGTTTTCTGAGGTTCAGTCTTTGCAACTTCACCAGGAACTCCGCCTGAGCTCGATGCATTGGAGGTTCGTTTTGTGCTGCCAATGTGGAAGCGAACAGAATTCAGCACAATTCAGCACTAGTCAGCAGCCGCGACCATCTTTCTGGTTCTTGTTGATTTCTTTTTGCAATACATGGCTATTGGTCAAAACCCTGGCACCTAGTGAACCCCAAAATTGCTGGTAAATGGATGTTCATCCCATTAGAATTGATAATAATAGGTTTTGACCCACCCCCACATATTAGCGAACCGTGGCATAAAGTGACTTCAGAGAGCATCTCAAGACTTCTGAAAAAGTATCTGGCAATGTTTGGCAGGTTTCAAGACTGTCAAGCTTAGATTTGTGTCCTTAGCCTGAGAAACTGGCTCATGAATTCTCTGAGTTCAGTGGACTGCTCAATGTTCTTTGGAGCCTGGCAGAGAATGTGCGGTTCATTTCATTCACAATGTACATGGCCTTCATGGCTGCCTTAGCTGCTCAATTTGTCATTCTGCCATGGCACCGTGCCATACCGTGCCTTCCGCAACTGTGCGAAAATGCCTTGGAACGTGTCCTGGCCCGAACTGCAGAGCATGGCAGTTAATCCGCCCTTGAAATCCCGTGGAATCCCTTGAATATCCTAGTTTCAATATGTTTCAATAGTTTCAATTTGATGCTCCATCTAATTAATCTAATTCCTAGAATCCGTCCACGGAATCCTTCCACTTCTAGCAGATTCTAGCACATGTTACTGAAAACTTGGAGTATCTTGGAGTCTCATGCAGTCTCCTCACATGTGACGAAACAGAAACTCAGTGCCAGGATGACAGCAACTTCTTGCGCAGAGTCCCGGAAGCGCTGGAGCAACATGTCCTCCTGGCAGCCAGAAAAGCCAGTGCCATCCAGTGCCAGCTGCAGAACAAAAGAACTCAACGCACCTCTGTATCAAGATGTGTCAAGATGTGTCAAGATGTGTCAAGTCGGTATTGACAGTATTGAGCCAGCGACCAAGAGTTCCACAATCCTGCGATGTCTGCTTGCCTAAGTCTGACATCCAGGTGAAGTGTCGTTCAAAGATTGGGCATTCAGAAGCTAGCAGCAGCAATGGCTGAGGGAGTGGCTAGCACTTTCCGGATTTCCGAGCAGTGGATTTCAAAAAGTCCAACGACCTGGCGAATTAAGATAGATGGGATCCAGATTAAGCATGAGCAACAACAAGATACCCTGAAGATACCTGAAATCTTGGGAGTCACTACTGCCAGCTAATCCTTCAGCGACGCTGAGATTCAGGCAGATGTATCGGGAATGGCATCTAGTACTTTCTCCCTTGGCAAAGCTTGCTAGTTTGGAGGGACTGTACACTTTCCAAACACTACCTAGCAAGTTCAACATGTTGAAGTTGATCATATCCATATAATAGCCATATAATATCCATATTATGGATCCCCCATTGGACCATTGGATTTTTTCCTGCTCCTGTAACAAAAGTCCCTTGCTTCGCACAGCGAAGTCTGTCCTGTCCGTTCCTGAGCTCCCAGCTCCTCATCTATGTGCTCCAAAATAAATTGCTTTGCCCTGACATTTTCTCAGCAAAGATATGCAATGTATATGCAATGTATACTAAACAGATTGCAAAAGATCGCAAACTATTTAGATACAATTTGTATCATCTTATATTATCATCCGATAGAAGTCGAAGGGCTACTTTTGGTTCGCTCTTGGTTACCAAGCTTTCGACCCACTCCTATCGAAACTATCGAAGTCCAAATTCTTTGACACGTGCTCCGAGCATCTCCGAGCTTTGCACTCATCAGTGGAGATTTCCGCTGCAGCCTTTTCTTTGACCTAAAGCCATGCAGCAAAAACATGCAAGGACATGCAAAAAGTTATCAACAACAAGGAGAGCTCATATTATCCATTCAGATCCTTTCTTTAGAAACTTTCTTCAGAAAGGACATGAAACAACAAAAAACACAGAATGAGCACAGGATGAGCAGAGGACAATTTGCAATCGGTTCATAATGTTTCATCTTTGTTTCATCTATGTTTCATGTCTTCTCGTATCGTTTCGCTCCCGGTGCTTGGCCGAGCTCGCGACATATTCGGCCGGGTCCAGGCCTCGGAGACCGGAAGCTCGGCCGGCGGTCCATGGCGCTCGGTGCGAGCGGTGCTCGGTGCCCCGACGGAGAAGGCTTTGGTATGGCTCGAAGAGGTCCAGGAACCTCGGATTTCCCGAAATCTGCCAGGCAAAAGATGGCAAAACTGTCAAATATTGCAAATTGATGCAAGTTAATTAGAACATGTTCTGAGATGTTTTGAGTATATATTATATATTTATTATATTATTATATGTATATCGGTCCCTATCAATCCTCTTGCTCTGAGTTGTCCAAATAGCTCTGAAGACGAATCAGATTCGTTTTCGAGGCCCTTGGGAGACGGCTCTACCAACGCAGGCAACGTCTTCTCCAACTTGGCCACGAGCTGGTCTTTTCGCTGCACCACCTCATCAGTGCGATTCGGATCTCAGCTTGGAAACATCAGGTTAAACCAGTGGCACAAGGTAGATCAAAGTAGATCAATGTGTTTTTTTTGTGTTTTTATGGTGTGTTGCACAATGGAAATTGAATAAAATTATGAGATCTCCATCTGACATTCGATCAACCGAAAATCAGTCCGAGCGCCATGCCCAAGGCTCAGTCACCTCGACGGTACTTAGGACCTGAAAAACAGCACCAAAGACAAAGATCGCTGCAGCCGTATACCCTCTGGTAAACTAACATAGCTATTGAAAATTGCCATTTATAGTGGATTTACCCATTAAAAATGGTGATTTTCCATAGCTATGTTAAATTACCAGAGGGTATCCCTATGTACCACCATGTACGCATGCATATCATCATTCATTTGCCTGACTCTCGCCTGTTTGTGAACCACTGTGCGGAAGAGCTGTGGCACGACCTCTGAAATCAAAACATGTCTGGCATTCAACATGGATCAAACGATATCAAACATATCTCCAGACATTCATTTTTTTGGGCAGTGCGCACATCAGGAGACTGTAATACCCATATAGCGTGTAGTCTTTCTGGAGTTTATTAGTGGCCGTCCATGGGGGATTTGTGCCTTCATTGGCATAGACATTCATTTTATCACGTTAAGTTGATATGTTGAGTGAAGTGAACAGACACAAGATCTTGGATGCAATCTAGCATGTATCAGTCAGCCACGGAATGTCAATGTAGTGCTGATAAGCCAATTTCGACAGTCTTAAGAGTGCTGCGAGAGCGTCCAGCTGCGGAACGTCTGCCAAGCTTTGAAGCCTTGTAGCTCAAATGACAGTCAGAATCTGTTGGATGTTTTAAGATGTTCTAAGTATTATATCCCACAGGATCCATGTATGCTATATATGCTAACATTTGGGGTATATTGATGGTAAATGTTACCATATATACATATAGCATACATGGATCCTATGGGTATGAATTTAAACAAACAAAAGAGATGAAACGCAGAGGTGCGAAGATCCTCTTGAGATCCATACCCTTGCTCCAGCACTTTTTGGCACACATCAATGACCTCTTCAGCTCAGCCGGAAACATATTTCACGAACATAGAACGAAAAGTTGCATCAATCAGGTTTCGTGAACATATGTGAACATATGGCTACCCATATGTGAACATATGTGAACATAAAGATCATAAATCAGGCTGGACCATCTGGACCTGTGTCCCATCAGATGAGTAGACAAAGTTCTGCTTGTCTTCACCTCGAGGCAGTGCCATTGCCCAGGAGACATCCAACAGCAGGCAGGGTGCCAAGGTGCCAAGGTTCCGTTCTGGGCTGGCATGGGCTGGCATGGGCTGGCAAAAAAAGTCACTTCTGTTGGGAACAAAGAGATTGTTTTAACATGTTTTAACATGTGCTTTACTTTCATGTAGCTGGACTCTCTCTCTCTCTTTCTCTGCCACGGACCTCAGCAGCTTCAAGCTTGCAGCAGTTTCATGTACCAAGGGCGCCACTGTGTCGAAGCTCCAAGATAAACAAACCTTGCTTTGGCCTGGTGATAAAGAGGGAAGGCCGGGCAAGTGTACACAACTTCCTCTAGCCCCACACTAGAACGTGTAGTTCTAAGGAAGCCATACGAAATCATACGAAGTCTGCTTCCTTCATGTTTCTGCGCTTCTGAATTGACTCCATGAATCTACCATCGCAGGAAACTAAGCATCGTGCTCTCGGCTTGGACCTGTTTGATCCACAATGCCATCACCAACAGCTGGTGCAGTTGCACCACTGGCACCTTCAGCACAAGTTCCTGATGTTTCAATGTCTAAATCTGCGAAAATTGATCTGAGAAGCGATCCTAATCGGGTGTGAGAACCGTTGTCAAACAAGTGGCAACTGTGGCACCTCTTAAATCCAGAATTATAGAATTCAGCTTACTTTGGAAGTCTTCTCAGAAATTTGCGAGCTGAATAAATTGATCAATCATGACAGTACTTCGCTTTGCGGAGAAACCAAGCTGCCTGTTTGGATGCGGGACTTGCTCTGCATGTCCATAAAAGCGCTTGCAGCCTATCCGCAGGTCTGGTCTAGAAAGGCCCAACGCAGCTACTGTAGACAAGCAGCCCCAGTGTTGTTGAAAAATAGCAATAGACAGCAATAGACAGCAATAGACAGCAATAGACAGCAATAGACAGCAATAGACAGCAATAGACAGCAATAACCGAGCCTTGTGAAATAATCGCGGTGGTGCTGCCTCTGCATTGGGGTCTGGAGCCTCAAAAACACTCTCTACTCGCAGAAGGTCTTGCCTCGGGGTGACGGCCATGACGAAAAATGGCAGAAGTTTGCTTCCAGAGTTCGGCATTCACCCAAACTCTGAGATGCAAGCACGTTGACCTGAACTGGGCAATACCTTCAAAGTGTGACGTTTTTCAATGTCAGCTTTTTGGGATCTCTGATGATCTCTGAAAAACTGTCGATTGACAATGATTGCACAAGAGTCCCTATTTAGCTGCCTTGATCACCCCATATCACCCCGCCTCTCCATGCTTTCGCAGTAGCGGGCGACGGAGTCCAATGCAAAATATCGCAATGTATCCTTCACAGAAAAACTGCGACTGCCATAGTGCTGCGAATTCTTTGTTGAATGAGATGCCACTCGCGATCATGTAGTAACCGCACCAAGGCCAACAAGAATAAAGAGGAGGTGCCAAAATCGAACCAAATCAAAAGCTCTCCAGTGATGCCTGTATGCGACCAAGTCAGTTGGAAAAACAAATAATGACCCCCTACTTCTGCCTGCATCATAAATCGGAGGACGGACAGGAGCTTGCGCATCTTGCCCTGCATTGCATTTCTACGAAGCCATCATCAAACATGCCATCATCAGCTATTGCAAGAAATCAAAGAAATCGAAGCTGCAAAAGTAACACGTTGAGACTTTTTCCCGAATGCGTAGCAAGGGTTCTGCGTGACTGCATATCCATGTGTTTCGACATCTGTACCACTAACATATATTAACATATGTGTTTTTCGCATTCGGGTTCGTGGGCTGCATCTTGTTTTGAAAAGGGGTTGGCCTGCCGGTAAGTGTCGGGATTGGTCTCGTGGATCGAAAACCATCCCTTGCCCACCTCAGCTATACGGTACAAATGAGCCATGCTGAAGACTGTACGAGGTAATTTATGATAAATGGTATTTCAATGTGTTAATATGTGTTAATATGGTACTGTACTTGCCCAGTATTGATGATGGTATTTTATTTTGTTCATTATTGTCAATAATTGTAATTAAGTTAGTAATATAATTGATGATGATTATAGCCCAAGTATGTCGAAATAATGCCGAGGCACATTGGTAAAGTGCTGCAGTATGATCTTCTGCAACTTGTTCACCTGGCATTTCACATTCTCCAATTCACCAATTCACCACATGCTCAGTTTCGACAGTGATGAACATTCCGCAAAGATCTGATGCAAATCTAATCTGGTGGTGCAATAACCATCTTGAAAAATATGAAAGTCAATAGGAGGATTATCCCATACATGAAATGGAAAATAAAAGCCATGTTCCAAACCACCAACCAGTCAACCGGAAGGGAGCACCCAATGCTCTTTCACTCGCTGCGACCTGGTGTGAAGAAATAAATTGGCTTCAAAAACGCCTTTGATCCGTGTGTTTTTTACCGTGTTTTTTTTCATGTCGATGTCGATACTTGGCCCAAGACGTAGCTGTGATGACAGCTTTCTGCAGTTGAATGAAATAGTCCAAGCGTGTGGCCTAGGCGTCCACAAAAAAAACCACAGGAGATCCACAGAGATCCAAAGGGTGCACAACGCGACACGGCGACACCGGCCTCGGTGTATCTGATGTTGTAGATGCTCTGTGAGAGCAGCCACAAGCACTCCTCCGCCACAGCCACCTGAGCCCGGCTTCCGACTGATTCCGACAGATTCCGACAGATTCCGACTGATTCCGACTGATTCCGACTGTCTGTACAACAGTATGTACATGTTTGTACATGTTTGATTCATTCATGGCAGTGTGTCAAAACCTTGTACCCCTGGTGAACATCAAAATAGCTGGTAAATGGATGTTCATTCCCCTAAAAATGGTATTAATAGGTATTGATCCATACCCTCATGTTTGTACATTGTACAGTGGTGCTGTCCGAAAACCAAGACCTTCAGCTATCCGACTGGCTGGTGCAGCATAGGATACTTGGGCGGTGACGTGTGTGCTCACCACCTCTGGCTTGATGAGCAACGATGCAAAACCTCAATGTTGCAGAGATGAATGTTGTAGAGATGAAATATCATAAGATATCACTATAGATATCACTATAGATATCACTATAGATATCACTATAGATATCACTATAGATATCATAAGATATCATTAGATATATCATAAGATTTCACAAGACATAAGATCGTTTTCATGACGTTAAAGTCTTAATATGCATCTGCCTCAGGACCGGGCAAAACGCTGAGAATGTCTCAGTGAAACTGTATTCCGGAACGGGCCACAAAGAGAACATCGGCACTGGCCTGCACTATGCTTGCAACGTCCAAGTAGTACGGAACGGTAAAACCACTGCTACTGCTAGTTGTGCCACAGCAGCAGAGAAGAACAAACCATGCAAAAACATTGAAACAAATTAACATAACATGAATTTAAAATGAATCTAATATGAATATGGATTAAACAGATTGATGACTCTAATTATCGCTGAAAGATCTGAAAACAGTGTGGCCGCACTTTGGATCACTTTGGATCTCTGGATGTCTCTGGATGTCTCTGGCCTGTCAAAGGAGCTCTCATCATCGAGCTCGTCGATGTTGACCGACTCAAAAAGCGCCAAACCTTGGAGGTGGTGAAGATGGCCGAAGATGGCCGGGCAGGGCATGCGACATCTCGACATTTCGTGGTTTGCTTTGCTGTTTTTGCTGTTTGCTATGACGACTTTGCTGTTTGTTGACTATCTTAGCCATGCTAATGACTTATAATGACTTGGCGACTTAGTGACTTGGGACCGATGACTACCGCGCATCCTCTGAGTCAGCAGCCTTGGCTCTTCTCTCCGTCCTGAGCATGCGGAAATGTACAGAAAACATGAAACATCAAACAGGACAACACAGGAAATGCACAAAATGAGCAACAAATCAGCGGACACATGAAACATCATGAAACTTAATTTGTTTCATTTCTTCAAAACCTGAAAAATCAGCTCAAAACTACGCTCCACGACGGTATGATGCAGTATGATGCAGTGAAGCTGTGGCCATGACTGATGGGCCTTCCGTCTGAAGCTTGTGGCTGATAAAAATGATTTTGTTCATCCTGGCATCACATGACTTCAGCCCCACCCCCCAAGCCACGGCGCTGGCATCACTCTTGAGAAGCACTCCATGAGACTACTATGAGAACCACCAGCAGAAACCATTGGAGAACTCTTTCCGGTCACCCAGCAGGATCAGTACGAGGGACTAACTGACGAACATTCTTTGTTCGAGTTCTGGTCAGGGTTTCAGCCCATGCTTCACACCACGGCTGGACGTCCACGACAAATACAGAGCACTGGTTGAACTTGCAGCTGGGCGACTCTCTTGATCCACTGCTCCATCCCGGTTTGTTCAAGATGTCTGCCACTTGCAATTCATATCAAAATTGTTGGGTTGGGGGTGCTTGTGAAAGAGGTTTAAAAAAACATCTTTGCTCTTTTGCCAAAAAACCGTGTGATTTTGGAAAGTTCCCAGGTTGGAGAGTTCCAGGGCTGACAAGTGTGTAAAGCAATTTATATCAATTACCCTCTGGTTATTTAACATAGCCATGGAAAATGGCCCATTTATAGATGGTTTACCTATTAAAAATGGTGATTTTCCATGGCTATGTTAGTTATGATCAGATGGCAAATATCAATTTATGTAGTTTGGTGGTAAGGGTGGAGAGCTCAAGGCTGTATGTTCAAGGGCCAGCGACCAGGTATGTTACACTACCTCTGAAGCCTGCGGAGCCTGCGGGCCAGGGCCGCCCTCGAGTTATTTTCAGATGTACACCAAACAATCAAAGACATCAAAGATGAAACCAGCATGAGAACAGCAAGTGAAAGTGTTTTGTAGACAATCCTTTTCAGATATGTCAGATATGTTTGTTGATCATTGTTGATCCACCTGCCATGGCAAGGGACAGGAATAGGCAACAAACATCACAATGCATGAGTGGCAAAAATTATGTCTGGTGAGCAAAGAATGGTCATGGCGTGCTATTTCGAGAGGGATTTTGACAAAATCGATTTCTTCAAGAATAAGCACGTGGCATATGAAGAAGTAGGAAAGAAGTTGGTATGAGAATGCTTCAAGAACAAAATTGAAGGATACACCAGGCAGAATAAAGTAGCACGTGGAGAGATTGGTTTTAAAAAAATGTGGATGAGGACTTGTGCATAAACCATGTTCAAGCTTGCTGTGCCCAATGTGGCATAAAGTTCTATGTTGAGATGGAGGCTGGAAAGTTACAGTATAAATAATTTTCACCTTTCAGAAAATAGACCATAGAATCAGCCATCATATAGACAATGTTGAACCTTAGTGTAAGTACTATGCTTGTAGTGTTCACTGATAGTTGTTGCTAAAATCATTTGGAAAATTCATCATCTGATGTGAGCACAAAACAGAAGGTCATTGCAAACATCTATTTTGATAGAGCCGGTTTTGGTGCCAAAAAACACACGAATTTAAATGATGCCAGACAAAAACAAATAAACTCAGGTGCTATCAGCTTGAATGCTTCTGCGTTTTTGCCATAATAAGTGCTTATGCCATAAAAAACATCGGAACCCTTTGGACATTTCACAAAGCATCTGCACCAGAACCCTCCGGAACCTCACAAGGTATCTGCACCGGAACCCTCCGGAACCTCACCACGCATCTTCACCTAGACCCTCAGGAACCTCATCAGCTAGCTTCACCGGAAACTTCCGGAACCTCACCAGGTACCTGCACCAAAACCCTCTAGAACCTAACCAAGTGTCTGCACCATAACCCTCCGGAACCTCCGAGTACCTGCACCGGAAGCCTGACAGAACCCTCCGGAGCCTCAGCAGGTATCTGCACCGGAACCCTCCGGAACCTCACGAGGTATCTGCAACAGAACCCTCCGGAACCTCACCACGCATCTTCACCTAGACCCTCAGGAACCTCATCAGCTAGCTTCACCGGAAACTTCCGGAACCTCACCAGGTACCTGCACCAAAACCCTCTAGAACCTAACCAAGTGTCTGCACCATAACCCTCCGGAACCTCCGAGTACCTGCACCGGAAGCCTGACAGAACCCTCCGGAGCCTCAGCAGGTATCTGCACCGGAACCCTCCGGAACCTCACGAGGTATCTGCAACAGAACCCTCCGGAACCTCACCACGCATCTTCACCTAGACCCTCAGGAACCTCATCAGCTAGCTTCACCGGAAACTTCCGGAACCTCACCAGGTACCTGCACCAAAACCCTCTAGAACCTAACCAAGTGTCTGCACCATAACCCTCCGGAACCTCCGAGTACCTGCACCGGAAGCCTGACAGAACCCTCCGGAGCCTCAGCAGGTATCTGCACCGGAACCCTCCGGAACCTCACGAGGTATCTGCAACAGAACCCTCCGGAACCTCACCACGCATCTTCACCTAGACCCTCAGGAACCTCATCAGCTAGCTTCACCGGAAACTTCCGGAACCTCACCAGGTACCTGCACCAAAACCCTCTAGAACCTAACCAAGTGTCTGCACCATAACCCTCCGGAACCTCCGAGTACCTGCACCGGAAGCCTGACAGAACCCTCCGGAGCCTCAGCAGGTATCTGCACCGGAACCCTCCGGAACCTCACGAGGTATCTGCAACAGAACCCTCCGGAACCTCACCACGCATCTTCACCTAGACCCTCAGGAACCTCATCAGCTAGCTTCACCGGAAACTTCCGGAACCTCACCAGGTACCTGCACCAAAACCCTCTAGAACCTAACCAAGTGTCTGCACCATAACCCTCCGGAACCTCCGAGTACCTGCACCGGAAGCCTGACAAAACCCTCCGGAGCCTCAGCAGGTATCTGCACCGGAACCCTCCGGAACCTCACGAGGTATCTGCAACAGAACCCTCCGGAACCTCACCATGCATCTTCACCTAGACCCTCAGGAACCTCATCAGCTAGCTTCACCGGAAACTTCCGGAACCTCACCAGGTACCTGCACCAAAACCCTCTAGAACCTAACCAAGTGTCTGCACCATAACCCTCCGGAACCTCCGAGTACCTGCACCGGAAGCCTGACAGAACCCTCCGGAGCCTCAGCAGGTATCTGCACCGGAACCCTCCGGAACCTCACGAGGTATCTGCAACAGAACCCTCCGGAACCTCACCACGCATCTTCACCTAGACCCTCAGGAACCTCATCAGCTAGCTTCACCGGAAACTTCCGGAACCTCACCAGGTACCTGCACCAAAACCCTCTAGAACCTAACCAAGTGTCTGCACCATAACCCTCCGGAACCTCCGAGTACCTGCACCGGAAGCCTGACAAAACCCTCCGGAGCCTCAGCAGGTATCTGCACCGGAACCCTCCGGAACCTCACGAGGTATCTGCAACAGAACCCTCCGGAACCTCACCATGCATCTTCACCTAGACCCTCAGGAACCTCATCAGCTAGCTTCACCGGAAACTTCCGGAACCTCACCAGGTACCTGCACCAAAACCCTCTAGAACCTAACCAAGTGTCTGCACCATAACCCTCCGGAACCTCCGAGTACCTGCACCGGAAGCCTGACAGAACCCTCCGGAGCCTCAGCAGGTATCTGCACCGGAACCCTCCGGAACCTCACGAGGTATCTGCAACAGAACCCTCCGGAACCTCACCACGCATCTTCACCTAGACCCTCAGGAACCTCATCAGCTAGCTTCACCGGAAACTTCCGGAACCTCACCAGGTACCTGCACCAAAACCCTCTAGAACCTAACCAAGTGTCTGCACCATAACCCTCCGGAACCTCCGAGTACCTGCACCGGAAGCCTCCGGAACCGCACAGAACCCTCCGGAGCCTCAGCAGGTATCTGCACCGGAACCCTCCGGAACCTTGTCCGGAACCTGGTGTTGAAGCTGCACCGGATCGCACCGGAGCTAATCTGGGCTGAAAAAGACCCCATAGCAAAGTTTTGCTGTTAAAAACAAAAGTCAAGTACTATTGCAAATATTGTTTTTTAAGAAATAATTAATGGTGAGATTAAGAGGAAGCTAAGAGGTCAGAACAATTTTGTAGCACATCATAACCATCATACTTGTCGAGTGGACTTACAGACTGTTTAATTTCCAAGGAAAAACGTAGGTTGTTATTTTTCTTAAAGAAATTGTTTTTTGATGTTTGTATATTGTATATGTACACATGCAAAAAAAAACAATTGTAGTTATATAAGTGTCCCGATGCGGAAGAAACGTCAAAGAAGATGAACCTGATTTGGTAAAACATGGCCATATGATGCCATATACCATCATATACCATATGTAATCATATTTTCATGGCAACACTTGACTCATTCAAGCGCTGAAATGACGATGGGGATCCTTCAGCAAACCGGAGAACGCCTCCGTTTGCGTGCGTCTATCCGTACAGCCGTTCCAAATTCTTCGAAGCATTTCAAACAGAAGCCTGGGGGTACACTCTTGCGAGATACAAATGTCATAAGTACTGTTCATAAGTCATAAATATAAAATGGTATGCCCTCCTCTCAATGAACATTGAACATCAAAAACATATCACGAATCAAAAGAAATCAACAGAAGAATAAACTTATCCCATAATTTCATCACGGTGTATTGTGAAAATCATGATGATCATGCACCTATACCTGTCAAGAATATGTCGTTTTTT